GATTTCAGGATTTGAGGATGTTAAGATTTTTGCCGGGATGGACGTGATTAGAAATGAGTACATCAGAAAGATAGCTCAGGTTGAGCGGTTTGGAGACAAAGTTAGAGAGGTGAGGTTGAGATGATTTGGACATGTGAAAAGGAGGGCCACAGGACAAAGGATGTTGAAGATGCTCCTGAAGGCAGGAGGAAAAGAAGTTGACCTCAGTGGAGGTTCATGGATATAGTGGAGGAGGACATGCAGAGGGTTGCTGTGACAGGAGGGCTAGAGATGGAGGAAGATGATCCACTGGGGTGACACCTAAGCAGCCAAAAGAAGAACTGTCATTACACCAGTCATGCTTTTCTCTAAACTGAAGTGGAATTCTGTTAGAAAAAAAACTTTGAGGAATTACCTGAGACATACGGGCGCTACAGTTTTTACGCCACCATGATACTATGTACAACCACAAATGAATCTGGAGTTAATGATTACTTTTTTTCCAGCTATTTTCAGCTGTGGAGAAATACACACTTGTCCAAGATTTTTAAGGTTTTGGTTTCCTAAAATTTAAAAACTTCTATATTAGCATCCAAAAACATTTATCTATCTTTATTTTCTATTAGAAATTGTATCCGTTCTGTAAATTATTCTACTTCAGTAATGATGCAAATAGATTAACAGTCACTTGTAGCGACTGCCAATGGATCACAAGCCACACAGCGTTACTGCCACAAGTCAGAAAAGCCACCAGCATTGCTAAAGGGCCACATTTGAGATGAGATGAGATAGCCTTTATTTGTCAGTTGCAGGTCTTTTGCCCACAACTGAGATGACATTTCACTGGCTGGGTGGCCAGCTCACCCCATATGGCTGTGCTGAGTGAGGATTTTCCCCTTGCAGCCGAGAGCTTTGCTGGATGAGCATGTGGGCCAAAACTGTGTGTTGCTTATATGCAAAGTTATGCATATTAAACTCTTGAATAAAATGCATTTCACAGATATTGTTTTGAGAGATATTTGCAGGCAGTGATCATAAACATGGAAAATATTAGAAAGTCTGGTTGTTCCTTGGCTGTTTCTGTGCACAGCCATGATACTTGGTCTTTTCTCGTGCTGCATCACATTTAGTTCTCTGGTGAGTATCTCTAGCTACAAGATGAGGGATGGACAATCACATATTGTGTTTTCATTTACCATTAGCAAATCACTGTTGGATTATGTGTATTTATCCAATGTTTGAAATCAAGATTTTCTAGGTTTGGTTTAAAGGCCAAACTACAAAACTGGACAACAGAGTGGCAACATCGGATTCAGTGCCAACATGTGTAGTCATACCTGAGACAAATTTAAAGAAAGAAAACAAAAAAAAAAACATAGCAACATTAAACATTGAAAACAATAAACAATAATTTGTATTTCAAGAGATGAAGACAGTTGGTCTTGTTGACAACAGACAGGTAAAATCAAGTAACATAACTGTCCCTTTCTATTGGTTTTTGTATTAAATAAATGGTGGTCTTTTGAATAAAATTAGCACCTTGAGAAAAATGACACCTAGGTTGTCTTACAGTACTAGAATAGTGGATTTACAGTGAGAGCTTTACAGGCCTATGGGACACCAGAAGCCGTGTCCCTGTAAAGAACACAATGTTATAGACATCAGTTAGGACAGTCTGACGTTTTATATATACAGTGAGCAAGCTGTAACACTATCCCTGCATGACTGCATAACAAAAAACAAAACACTGTATAAAGGATGCTTGTAAAAAAAAAACAAAAAAACATACACTTAAATTATTTAATGTCTCTGTAAACGAAATTGCCTTCTCCGTGAAAAAAAAGCCTGGGGACACTATTGGCCTCAAAGATTCAGTCATACAAAGTCACTGAACTTGAGGGATAAAATCCTCCAACACTAGAGGATAAAGAAGCAAAAACTTCACAGACTGGAAGGTTCCACTTGTCCATGATTTAAAGAGAGTTTGTGTCCTGGACCTGAGAGTCTTCCGGGATGGTACAGTTTTCTCCCACCTCTAGCTGAAACATACAGGTCCAACAGTGAGGCCAAACTGGTATGTCGCGTTTCCTCCTCCCATCAGTGCCACGTCTCTCAGAGGAAGGAGATGGAGGTCCTCAAACTCCAGCACAGACTCCCGAGGACCAGACTCCATCTCCTCTCCAGGCTGATGAACAAAAAATAGATTACATTTGAACATTTACAGTAGTAAACCCTAAGTAGAGATCAGCTTTAGATAAGTTTCTCTTTCTCTTGAATTGAATATACATAAATGGTATACATACA